AACAACTAAAAACAGCTGCCCTTATTGTAAAAAACTCTCTATACCTAAACTTTACTGATGAATCCATATGCGTACATCAGAAAATATATATTTTTTTAGTAGTACACTCTCATACTTACATGCATATAAAAATACATAATATCCATAGTCTATTTTTGTGTAACTTTGCAAAGATTGTACGTCCGAATTAAGTTTGTACATACATATGTATGCATAAAAATTATACGCTCAAGTACTTTTCGCTTTTATTGCGGTTCAGATTCTTCGGAACCCTTTGAAAGCAATGCTGGTCGATTATTCAAAACTACTTGATCCAAATGAGAACATTTAAGTTATTACAGTGAAAACCCGATTATGATTGATATTTAAGCTACATATTGAAATAATGAGGTTGTTCACGCTTGCCGGCGTATCAGATTATGTGGTTATGCGGTTATATTTTTTATTCAGTTTACAACAATAAAGTACACTACGCAATAGTAATTTTTAACCAGATAACCAAATAACCAGGCAAGCGTGAACAACCTCAATATCATTTTTCAATTTATGCAAGTGATGAAAGCTCCTTCAAACAATATATGTATGTAAGTTATTGTAGGTTTAATTACAGAGTCTATTTTACAAAATTGTTCGGCAGTGCATGTGAAAGCTTAATAAAAATATGTACACTTCTATACATACATACATACGCATATACATAGTACGTACCTACCTGTGGATGCATGTAGCGCAGCAATTATGCAGAATTTAAGTAGCTAAGTATGAAAGCTGCCGTTTACCATGATTTTTCATTGAAATTCACACACACACACACACCCATATGCACATAAATAGCGTGCGCAAGTATGAGTGTTAATGTGGGTGGTATTTATGTAGTATATGCGCTTCGTTTTAATTGCGCCAACACATGCGTAAATGGCCGTCGCATAATGCCAAGCGCCACAGCCACTAGCGCCTCCACGGCGTATGAGTGACATTTCATGACAATTCATTATTAAAACGGTTATTATCATAAAGCTGTGACTTTTGGGACTTTTCAGCGCGGCATCACGACAAAAGCCTGCACGAAGAGAATGACCAAAAAAGAGAATGAAAAATTATGACGTGTTAGTATGTGACACTGACAGCGATTAAAGTTAATTTAATTTTTTTTATTTCCAACTTAATTTAAAAATGCCGAGCAAGAACACTAGCAAGAGAATAAGGATAAGTAAATAAAGATAGGGTTCTTTTTTTTATGTATGCAAAAGGATGCGGTTGTAAATGTCAACAGAATTGTAAAGGGAGCAGCAGAGAAAAGAACGCTTAAATTTACCATGCACGTGAATTGGAAATGTAACTGCGATTCTTCCATTTACCCATTTTGTTTGCTAGTTGCAGTTCCGTTAGATCTCTACGGCTGCATTTATTTACGGATTAACCGTTTATTTGTAATCAAATCTTAAAATACGTTTAAAACGTGGCGTACGTTTACACTACCTTTTTTTTTAACAAGTATTAAATGTTCATAAAAGCACTTAAATCACAAAGTAGTTACATGACGATTCTTCAAATACAGGGCACAATTTAAAGTAAAAAAAAAGATTGAAATATTGCGAACCAATTGAAGTGTGCATTTTTGCTATGCTTCTTCAGCAACTGCTGCAGCCAGATAGATCGGCTGTGTTCGGTTGCCAACTTGTTGGCCACGAGTGGCACGGACGCGGCAGGAATTTAATTGCATGAACTTCATTTTTGTGACACCTAGTTTTATGATACACCTTACAGTTTGGTTGAAAAATGAAAAAAAAAATATATATAATTTATGTGAACTTTGACCTTTGTTTCAGTACAGTACGAATTATTGTAAGCTTACCTTTCTATATTGAGCTAACTTGACTGGGCTAAGAATCCTTTTTTTAAACTTCTTTAAAATCTCACAAAAAGTACCTAAATTTAGCCAAAAAAATTACCTTTTAGAAAGAAATGAATTTTTAATTTTTTATGAAAAGTGCAATGTCATCTTTGGTTTTTGTACAAAAAAAAAACAAAAAAAAATTAAAAAGCAGCAAATCGAAAAAGCATCACACATAGCTTCGAATATCAATAAAAATACGAATTAGAACGAAAAAATTTCGATTTTTGAGAATGTTGAGTCATTTTTCAAAAGTGCATGATACAAGCGATTTTGATAATATCGACAAATAAAAAATATGAATGCGCTTCTTTTCCGAGTAGAATAATTTACTAAAATTTCTTAAGAGGCAAATAGCTTCTCCTTCTTCAAGGGATACATAAAATTTGGTCTATGTTAAGCAAAGTATTTTAGTTCAATTCAAAGTTACTCGTGAACTGTACAGCAAACTATGGGTCAGGAAGGGATCAAACTGGGCCAAATTTAAAATCTTGTCACTCGGTGGGTTTTGGAGTCGCTGATTACGCATATGTAGTCAGATTGGAAAGATTCAAAATGGCGGACGATATTTTGAAAATCGATCGGATTGGCTTGAAACTTGTCACTCATTGAAAACGGCGTACTGAGTATGGAGACTGAAAATTTTCAAAAGGCATTGAATCTCAACAGAGTCTATATAGTTATTGTTGTTAAAAAGTAAGTCAAACATATCTCTTTTTGTAAACTGCGTCATGTTGGATTAAAGTGGATAGCCAAAACCGTCTGCTGCGCTGCTGAAATCCTGATGATTCATAATATAATACGTGAATAATTTGAAATATAATGCAAAGACACATCTAAAAATTTCGTGACAGAAAAAAATCTCCTCTGTTGTCTGAATATTTGAATCAGTCAACTTTCATCGTCATTATTCAATTTCTCATTACCACGCTTTTATCAACTTCATTTCTTGTTTGTCCAGACAGCTTTGCTATAATAAAAGTTTCTATAAAAACTAGTCTACACCTTTTTCAAGAGTATTTCAGAAAACGGCAAATGTATTTCAGAAAAGGCCAATAAATTTCAGAAAAACTCAAATGTATTTCAGAAAAAGCCAAATGAGATTCAGAAAAACATAATTGTATTTCAGAGAAGTTCAAATGATTTTCAGAAAAACGCAAATGTATTTCAGAAAAGTGCAAAGGTATTTCAGAAAAGCACAAATGTGTTTCAGAAAAATATTTTTAGAATACAGTTGTGCTTTTCTGAAATTCATTTGTGTTTTTCTGAAATACATTTGCCCTTTTCTGAAATGCATTTGGCTTTTTCTGGAAATCATTTAAGCTTTACTGAAATACAATTGTGTTTTTCTGAATTTCATTTGACTTTTTCTGAAATACATTTGGTCTTTTCTGAAATACATATAAGCTTTTCTGAAATTCATTTGGCCTTTTGTGAAATACATTTGTGTTTTTCTGAAATACTGTTGAAAAAGGTGTAGACATCAACCTCGTCGGTAGCTATTATATCAAAGGACATCCAATTAGCAAGACTAGAGGTAGATGTCTCCTCGCCGGAAGTAGTTAAATATTTAACAACCGCATTATTATTACTATGCCATAATATGCACGAAGCTTTAGCGGATCCGCATGATACGCCATTTCTTTAAATAAAATTAATTGCTGCTATATGTATGTACATATGTTGAAAGAGAAAATAAATAAAAAACTCAGTTTCATAAAATACAATTCATTTAAAAAGAAGAAAATATAATACATTTTTTTTTATATACCACGCTTCAATAGATGGACTAAAAAGTAGAAAATAATATTTCTCAGTCCAATAGAATTTGTTTTGATAACTTTTGAATTTGAAATTTTGGCAAAAGTCATTATAATTTTATGAGATTGAAAATGAAAAAAAAAAAATTGTATTATATTTATTTTTGAATATTTTTTTTCATTTTATTTTATTAGATATTAAAACTAAGTTACTCTCCCACTAGCTTAAAAAATGTCTCAAAACGTGCCAAAAGTGTCCAGAGCGGGAGGAACGCAAAAAACTACACTTCGTTCCCGGATTCGAAAAATCACCGCTTTTTCATTTTACATCATCCTTTATATGATTTGCAAAATATGGAAAATACGTCAAACATTTGCTGAGCCATAGTTTTTGAGAATTTGAAGAAAAACAATGATTTTATGTGTATTTATCTTATATGGCTAATATTTAAAATTATCGCGTTGAACAAACCTAATATAAAACTTCTTCATACATTATTTTTCAACTACTTTTTTCTATCTATCTATTAGTCGAAAATGGTTTGAATCAAATTGATTACTTGAGTTTTGGCCACTTCTTATTGAACTGTAGCAGCTTCGAGATTTGCATTTATTTATTTTTTTTTAAATTCTGCCTTCATTTTAAAAACAATTCACTTATTCGGTAATTCAATAAAGTTTCACTATCATTCAAATGACTCAGATATTTCTTCGGTGATTTTCATTTTAAAAGCCTACTGATTTTTTTTGTCAAAAAATTCAGATATTCACATTCAAAAACTTTCACACAATCCTTTTAACTAATAACTCGTTGGATTCGAAAATTAAAAAAAATTGAAAATTTCATGATTTACTGCTAGGCCAATAAAAATACTTTATTTCCAGAAGTGTTCAGCTCGACAACATCTTAGCGTACATCCTATGTATGAATGTTCATGCATTGTTTATATTTTACATACCTTAAAAATTTAAAACAATTAGATACATACATACATACATATAAGCGTGTATATATGTACGAGTATGTATCTGCGAATTAGCGCTTAGCCGACATGACTCATCATGCACAATGCTATTGATAAATGTAAGCCGTGAGGGTAATCTGATAGCATGGCGACAGTGCTACAATGTCAAATCCTAAATGAGTGCGAGTGATTTTTTGTTTGCTCGTGGGCTATAAAACATTCCTGAATACATAGATATATATGTAAGTAGTTGTCTATATTAACAGAAGCTTTTGTCGTAATCCACTTCTTTCGAGCATCCAATGAATCGCGTCATTAAACTAAGCTGAACTAAGAAATTGCCGTAACAAGAGTAAAACGCAAAAAGCGTATAAAAATAGATTTCTTCTTATTCAGAGTACTCTTACCAGCCAAAGGTTATAAAAACGACATTTTCTTCTTTTTATTACAGTTGCTAAACTTCACACAATGTAAGCTGTCCTGGCTGTAATTTTCAGCAAACTGACAAAAGATAGACGAAAAAAAAACGTCGGCAAAATGTACGATTTTGTCCGCCTCGCCAGCACATAATAAAAATCCACTCAACACTGCGTGAATACGACATAAGAAGCGCACATCATTCAGGCGCAAATCATCCGTCAAGCGTCAAGGCGTTAGCCACTTAGTAACTCAACGCAGTAAAGCAACGCAGAGTGGTGTCACACTCTTCAGCACTCCACAGCTCGCGTGTCCGCCTAAACATGCTTATCTCACATCCTGCACCGGCACAGCTTGACGCGGGCATCCCGATAGACGCAGCCTCATCATACGCCACAGCCACCACATTGCGCGCGTATTATGACGACGTGGCAGGACTGGCTTTGGCCGCTGCTGTCGGCAATATAGCCGCTGTCAACTCTTTCGTCGACAGACTGCGCAACAAAAGTGAGCCGGACGGCCGTGGCAGCGGCCACAGTGAAAGCGACTATGATGACGCGGATATCGATCCTGCCTCGGATTATGTGCCACCCGAGCAACGACCCGAGACATATATTATCACAGTGCTGTTTGCGCTCATCTTTATTGTTGGCGTTTTAGGTAATGGCACTTTGGTGATAATATTTTTTCGGCATCGTTCCATGCGCAACATTCCCAACACGTAAGTTTGCCAAAAGATAAAAGCGAAAAGCCAACAGTCAAAAGTTATCATACATAAAAATAGCCCTTTTGTCGATGGGCGGCGCACAGTGTGCCTTTTAAACACTTTATTTTTTCAAAAAAAAAAAAAAAATTGTAAATTACTCTTATATTGGATTTCAAATTCACTCTGATTGGTGCATATCAAAATAATGCTTCTATAGAAAGCGTTAAAAAAGCACACTGTGCGACGGGAATGGGTTAGGAGTATTTAGGCACATTTTTGGGGTTATAAATGTGGGCAATTGGATGGAGTGTTTTCATATGAAGAAACTTTTTTTTTGGTAAAAATATCAAATAGTTTGAAACCATTTTTTCTATCAATGTTGTAATCAATATTTGTGTATTTGCCATACAGAAGGTAAAAGAAAAAACCAAATAATCAAAAAGTAGACTGGTACTCAACTGCAAATTTACAAAATAGTATTGAAAAAGTTGTTTTCTTCACAAAATATTTCGTTCTATTTAGTTCTAAAGTTGAGTTAACAATTCAATAGCGTTCAGAGCCTTTCTCAGTTGCTCTCCGAGGGAGAGAAAAACAAAAAACAACCACATGGAAGAAAAGTTCTGAACTATAGCTATGAATCCGCCTTAAGCGTGAACCCATACCGAAAACGAAAAAGCGTTTTTTTTATTGTCGGCCGACAAGGAAACATTTTTTTCTACCCCATTTGTGTCGTGTTCCGACGAATTTGGTATGCGTTGAATAATAAGAAGTAATGTACTCACACTAAGTGAAATTAACTCTACATACAGTGACGAACAAAAGTATTGCCACACAAAATTTTTCGCAAAATATGCAAAGTTTTTCATTCTAATTTCTTTTCGAAAATTAAAAAACAAAAAATGTGTTTATAATAAAACTCAGGAAAATTTAATAAATGTGCATAGATACTAATTTTTTAGAAAAGTTCTAAGTATTGCGCTTTATAACCCATTCAATTTTAGTAAAACCAAGTGCAAGTTTGAAGTTGCTGGAAATCCAACTAAAGTAGCATGAGACGCTGACCTACCATTTACACTGATGGCTCAAATGTGAAAAAAGAAATTGAAGTGTGTTGCTATTTATTCGCAATAATATCGCCGGCTTGGTAACTACAGTGTCTTTCAAGCGGGGATCTTTGCTATAAGCAAGCCTATAGCAGTTATATAGATAAATATCCTCCTTGCATCCATTCAACAAATTTGCCGCCGACGGGTTGAAGTACCTTAACTTAAACCTGAAGAACCTTAACCTAAAGCTTTTAGTAGCGGAACGTGACTGCGCAGACCGAGTTTAAGAAGGTTTGCTTTAATGTGAATATAATTTTATTCAGTTTTAAAGCGAAGTGCTATTGAAAAGCCAGTGGAAAAAACAATCGTTCATATGGAGACGTTTTTTAAGTACTCGTATTTGCAATAATTATCAAGTCAAATTTTTTTTGTAAATTTATTATGAAAATATTTTTCACGCTTTAAGGCATACTAATTTAAGAAATTTTGATAGAAGAATGTTTCTCCTCCATTTCTTTTGCATCATTTTATATGAATTAGTCATTAACCACAGCCAAATCCAATCAAAGTCTCACACTTTATAAAACGTTTGGAAAAAATTAAAAATTTTTCATTAAAATTTTGGGTATGCAGTTTCATAGCCCATATAATTTTTGCATAATAAAGCGCATGTTTAAAGCAGCTATAAATTCGTCTTTACTTTTGATAAACTTTTTGCTGCCGGTCTTCTTTGGTTCAGCTTAAAATTTTCAATTTCGAAGAAATGGTGATTTTTTCTTAAGTATAAACATGAACTTTTGTTTTATGTATGTCAATACATACTTTAGGGTACAATATGAAAAAAATATTTCTTAAAAAATTTGCTAAAAATTTTAACATGAAAAAAGTTTTGAATATTTGGAGACAATTACCAAGTAAACATTTCCTTGAGTCCCTCCATATGTATTTCCTTTGTCTTAATAGCTTCTTTCCTAAAGGTCTGTGTGCAGCTCTCAAGAAAAACACCAAATTTTCATATAAAATGCGCTCATAAAACTAAATTTCTTTTTATCAAAACTGCTTAAATCAGTTTGCAGCTCTCTAGAAATTTCGTAAGTTTTGTACTACACTTTTCCAAAATTTTCTTTTACTTACCTTACGCTTTTATTTCAAGCGACAAAAAGAATAAAAAATATTTCTCCAGATTTTGCTTAAGTGCTGGATACTACCCATAAACAAATAAATGTATACCAAAAACCAAATAAATATTAAAATAACCAAATATACAAGATCTATTGCCGTCTTAAATTAAAAAAGAGAAATGGCAAAATATGGTGAATATCACTCGAATTACAAGGACTGAACTAAAGTTCTTTGTATGTTTAAGTCCACTGCAGAATTCAAGGCCAAGAATAGATGCTGGCAGCGAATAACATTCTCACAATGAAATACTTCATGTTGATGGCTTAATATAAGATGGACCGGAGAATTAATTTGATCTTTGCATACATATTTTTTTCTTACAAATGTGGCAATGCTTCCATTGTAATATTGCTATTCTGTTATTATAAATATTTGGTAACACATGTGTTTATACATATCGTTACCTTAATATAGAAAGGCCCTAACTCATATAGTCGCTGAAATACAAAAAAGCCGTAACCAACAAAAAACTTGTATTGCTTAAAATGATGTGGGGACTTAGAATTTGATGAAATGCATCATAATCAATCAAAAGGGAATTTTGAATTTTTACTTAGTTACGGATTTTTGTATTTCAGCGACTATATGAGTTAGGGCCTTTCTATATTAAGGCAACGATATATACATACATACATATATATACATACATACATATGTGTCTGCAGACCCCACAAGAAGTCATCTTAAAACCTTTAGTAAGGCAATTATTGCTCGAATAACAAGCATTTGTGTCTCGTTTATGGCTGCGTACAATTTTGTATGTATGTTATGTACATATATGTATTCATGACACACAAATAGCGGTAATTTACATGTGAGGCGTGCGGTTGTGCTCTTCAAAATGAGCCACTATATAGGAACATAAAAGCCATTCAGTGCTGCAGATATGCGAGAATAGCTGCTATTACCTGCGGTGCCCAGCATCTACTCATCATGCGCCCACACTTTTTGCTACATTTCGGTAGTTGCGTTCTAGTGGGCGCTGTTTTTTTTTCACTGTTATTGCTTTTGCGAATGCCCTACCACTTTAATGTGTACGCTTGGATATTATCGGTTGTCACACACGCCTGACAATGCCACTGACAGTAGTGATGCGCAGCCAGTTGGCTCGTTTTACAACTTTTTGTTGCTGGACGGGCCTGGTTGCCCAGTTATTTATATATGAGCATTTCTACAGAATGGTCAACCGGGACCGAGAACTAAAATGAGCAATCAGTTATGTGTGGGAGCAATAAGTTATAGTGGTCCGATTTTGACGGTTCCGACAAATAATTAATACATTATAAAAATACATTCGCTTACAAAATTTCAGTCGGAAATCTCGGAAACTAAGGGACAAGTTTGCGTTCAAACAGACAGACAGATGGACTTGGCTAAATCGACTCAGCTCGACGTTCTAATAATTTTGGCACACATTTATGTGGGTCTATATCTTCTTCTTCTGGTACTTATCGGCATCGGACCAAATTTATAATAGCATTTCACGTTCATGAAAGGTATAAAAAATGATGGAAAAATCGTACGTTTGTGACCCGTAAAAAAATAAAACTAATCGCTTTAGAATATTCTGTTCCATTTCGCAGATTCTTGCATTTTTCAATTTGCAGCCAGAAGCGGCTTCCATTATTCGTACGTTCCCTACCGCATGTTTATTGCTAACATATTGAAAAATAAAAATCGAAACATAATCCCTTTTGCACCAAAGATATACCTATTTAGCAAAATGCTATCGAAACATAAAAAAAAATAAAAATTATGGTTTCCTTGTTTTTTTTTTTAACTTCAAAAGCGTACGAACGTACGGTTCGCGACCCTTGGAAATGCCCATATTTATCTACATACGTACTTTAATGTTGTGCAATATTGCTATGTTAGCAGCTGCTATGTAAGTGAAATTCATTCATGACCAGCAGAGCGTTAGAGCATTACGAAAAGCCACCGCCGATGTTATTTATTGCCTATCAAACTTCAACATCTGCCCTGTCTTCACAGACACATTTGCTTGTGCTCCGCGTGCAGTCTTTCCTTAGCTTGCAAACTCTCCATTTTGTGCCTGTGTAAGGCATTGATTATTGGTTTGAAATGTTTATTTGTTTGCATTTCCTGACTACTTGCACGATTTCGGTTTCCTTTTCGAGCGTTCGCAACCGGGCGTATGAGTGATATGCAACATGGGATTATTTACAAATTTGAATTCGCCATCACTCATACGCCATGGCATTCCAAATGGATTCCGTGCAGAAATAAGAGCAAAAATCCAAAAGGATACGACGATACTAGATGCTTGCAGGCTTTAGTCTCAATTTGTTTTGTTTGCATATACATACATGGATGGTATTTATTTCGGTTTTGCGTGACTTTGTAAAAATAGCCATTGTTTGGGCGTTGAGTGTTGATATTTCATTAAATGTTTTGTGCTTGAATAAGTTTGTTATCACCTTGTCGCCTCAATTTGTGTGTCTACCTCTCTATCTCTCCAATTGCACAGCTACATTTTGTCTCTGGCCTTGGCCGATCTGCTGGTCATCATCATTTGCGTGCCGTTGGCCTGTATTGTCTATACACAGGAGAGTTGGACGTTCGGCGCCCAAATGTGTCGCATCAGTGAATGCTTCAAAGACATTTCCATTGGCGTTTCGGTGTTTACACTGACCGCTTTGTCTGGCGAGCGCTATTGTGCGATAGTGAATCCGTTGCGTAAATTGCAGGTGAGAGCTCGGTTATAGGCTGTGCTTTATTTAGCAGCCAACAGTCAGCAACAATGAATAGTCTCAGTTATAATTTCCATTTATTTCATTTTGTGCTATGCCACTTCGTCTTGCAGACAAAACCTTTGACCGTCTTTACCGCCACCATGATCTGGCTGCTGGCCATTTTGTTGGCGACACCATCTTTTGTCGTCTCGGACATACAAGAAATACATTTGCCGCCAGGTGGACACAACGAGAATCTGACGATAATTGTTTATTGCTCGCCATTTGGACGTAATCGCACTAATCTGGAGTCGTATACCAGGTAAGATTTTTCTGAATTTTGTAATGTAACCCCTAGTTTCCAAAAAAATTTAAAATAAGAAAAGACGTTTAAAAAACCACTCATGAACAGCGGTGACTGCTGAAAACATTAAATTATATTTGCATTTTTATTAAAGTGTGCGCACGAAGCAAATAAAGCCAGTCAAATAACATAAACATTTTTCTTCTCCGCGGGGATTTGTNCTGAGGTATTAAAGTATGCGCACGAAGCAAATAAAGCCAGTCAAATAACATAAACATTTTTCTTCTCCGCGGGGATTTGTCAACTCAAAAACTAACTCTGCAATGTTTTAAATTCACACACGCGCACACTTTATGTAAATATATACATATGCATGTATTTATGTTTGCCTATTTTTATTTAGATATTTCCATGATGATTTCGTTTTTATCATTCCGCTTTGGGACACTTTTACGGTTTAACAGCAAATTTATATTTTCAACACTACGGGATACCTACATACATACATACTTACACGTATGTACACTATTGTATGCTTGGGTTTATGCCATCTATACGCAAATTGGCGCTGTAGGCCACCAAATGTGGCGATTTTATTGCTGCAGTTTTGGTAGGCAATTTTTTTTTTTTTTTTTTTTCATTTNCACCACATATATGTACAGAGGTTTGCTGTAGCTCGGTTCGTACATATTCTTATTTTTATTAAGCTAAAATTTGCATGTTTTCTATAAATGGTTGCCAGATGAAAATCGTTGATGCAAGCAAAAGCTTTAAGTAACGTGAGCTAATGACGAGGAAGTCCATCCTTTAACATCATTAACCCTGGAAGGTTATACTTATTTTGCAAAATTTTTAGAGAACCTTTGTGAAAGCAGTGTGGAGAGATTATAAGACTTAAGGTGTCTAGTTTCGCCTTGTTGATATAAATTTACAGTTTTAGATCAAACTATGCGTGAAATTTTGTATTTCAAAATGGATATGCGTCGTTCATTTGACGAAGTATAACTTTCCAGGGTTAAATCGATATCTGTGCTGCTGAGTTCAGCGCACTTTTTGGTCTCTATTTAAAAAAAAAACTTGAATTTTTGATTAGGCTTCCAGCATTAACTTACCCAGTGCCACAATTAGCCGATTTGGGGTTTGATTTAGACCGAGTCGGAGCTCATTCAAAAGAAAAAGGATGGCAATTACCCTTAGATACTTAGATATATTTATGACGTCATAAAAATTCGAATCTTGTACCTGGGAATTGGGCGGGTAGGAATTGAAAAGATGAGCTTACTGGTAGAANACTTGAATTTTTGATTAGGCTCCCAGCATTAACTTACCCAGTGCCACAATTAGCCGATTTGGGGTTTGATTTAGACCGGGTCGGAGCTCATTCAAAAGAAAAAGGATGGCAATTACCCTTAGATACTTAGATATATTTATGACGTCATAAAAATTCGAATCTTGGACCTGGGAATTGGGCGGGTAGGAATTGAAAAGATGAGCTTACTGGTAGAAGGAGGTAATGCAAATTGACATATTAGAGCTGATTGGTTAGAGGTGCATACCACCCCTCCGTAGGAACTGTGTTCGATCCTTGGCCCGAGAAACATGTAAAATTAGAGCAAGTGTTTTTTTTTGCCATGGAAAAGTGTCTAATAAAATCCTTTTGCCGTTCGGAGGTGGCGTAAAACTTTAGGCCCCTCCATTTGTTTTATATTTAACAACAAGACGTACACTACAAATAGGAGGAGAAGCTCGGCCAAACACCTAGCCAAAGTGGAAGCGCCAAAATATTATTAAAGCACTTCATAATATATTTTCAACGATTTGACAAGGGCGAACGATTTTAGCCATCTATCGAAATCTGAATTGTGCTTTCTTTCAACCCATCTGCCAGTATGTTTCTTTCTTGTTGACATATTTTGGTTTATTTTGTTTTTATTGAGTTTTTCATCAAAGATATACATATGTATATACTAGTATAATGTATTTCAAAAGGAAACTCTGCCATCCTTTGTCAAATCGGATTTCTTCCTAAGAACGAAAAGTGACACTGAAGCCAGTTTGTCTCCAAATCAAGTTTGACAAGGGATGCATTTTTGACAAGGGACATACGTTCCCAAATATATTCTACTAATACCGTGTCGCAACAACGGTGCAACACCAGCAAATGTACGATATACATAAGCATACACACTAACATACATATGTACATCCCAATTTTAAATTTTTAATGTCGGAAAACTCTCACTCTCAACCTTTTCTATTATTACTTATCCTTTTTTCTAGGTATACAGTGATCAGCAAGGCGTTCGTCTATTATCTGTTGCCGCTATTTATTATTGGTGCGCTTTACATCCTCATGGCTAAGCGTTTGCACACGAGTGCACGCGAAATGCCCGGCGAAGCGTTGGGCATGCAGACCCGGTCGCAGGCGCGAGCCCGTCGCCACGTAGCTCGAATGGTGGTCGCTTTCGTTGTGGGTGAGTTGTTGCAAGAACTAAGTGCATATTTACATGGCTAAATCGAATAGTAAGCAAATCATAGAAGAGCATCGTGTTGGGAATGAAATATGTATGTACATGAGAGTGGTTCAAACAAAATTTTCCCAAGATGGGGTTTGGGGCACCTTCCAAAATTTTTCCTCTTGCCAAAAGAGGTGCTGGTACCAAACTTACGATTTCAACATGAAAAATAGAGGGCAAATAAATAATAAAATCCATCCAACAAAATTACTTTTAAAAACCATCCCTTGCTCATAAGCAGTTTTGTCGCTCTCTCTTGACAAATCGGCTCCCTTAGTAGAGGCCAAGGCGAATTCATACAAGATGGTGCCACCGGAGCGGTCGAATTCGAGTTTCAAGTCGAATTGTGCTAATTGTTAAGATTTTGCGTTTGTTGCACATTTTTTTCGTGTTCTGATTGTTGTCGTGCGCATAATTTCTAGAGTAGTTTTTTGTTTTTGTGCTGCCGCTATCACCTTGTATGGATTCGCCTTGGTACAGGCACTTTGTTGCTATTTTTGCAAATTTACATGAAAACTGGAGTAAAATTTAAATTGCTCATAGAAAAAAATTTTTAGTCAGCTCTGTTTCCTACATCATGATTTTCGTTTATATTCGGTGACATTTAGTTTACGTTTGCTGATTGCGTGAATTCGAGTAAATTTGGTGCAAATCGTATCCCAAACGTATGAATGCACAAATATTTTTCTTTATCCCAATCGCGAAAAATAATTTGTTCGTGTGATTACAAAAAAAAAAAAATGTCGTCCCAATTTTTTTTATTTTTCTACGAATAGTCCAATATAAAAAATGTTAGATTTACCAATCGTGTGACATTACCTTAAGAGCGAGAAGAACGAGGTGACATCACATCATATTGGAAAATGTGCCTTTGAAAATTTCTTTAAGATGGCCAAATATCAAAAAAATAAAGCGAGAAAGCTGTTAATTACTCTACCTGTTTATAAATTCACAATGGGGTAAGCTTTGCAACAAACTAAAATTATTTTGCAATTTATCAATAATGTAATACATACATAATTAAACTCGGCGCACACAATTAGAGCCCTCTGCACTAACGAGTTATCCGATATTGTGTTGCCCTGGGGTTATTCTCTGAAGTGCAAAGCAACCAATTTTGATTGACATTGCATTCTATGCAGCCAGCAAATAGCTGCCGATTTACTCAGTCCGAAATATCTATTACCGAGAATAGAGCCCGTCCTGCATCCTATAATAGCGTCTTCCCATTACGTGGCATTATGCCAAAACAGAATTGTAGTAAATACATCTATGTATGTATGTGCGAGTATGGACCTATGTTATATTTAGAAAACACGTCACTCGCGTTAACATATGCAGTTAGTTCATAACCATTCTTAATCAGGCAAAATTAATGCTGCAGTGAAGAACCTTTTTAGTGTGACACTTCCCGCTTGTATGCGATCCGAAAAAAATCGCTGAATCCCTGACTAAGGCTGCTGGTGCCAGTGGAAGAAACCAATAAAAAGAAACAAGCAAATAATAAATTGGTTCAGTAACTGTACAAATAAATATGTTAGTATATACATACATACATAACTCACAAAATCGTTTTCATATCTGCCAATCCGGCGACATTCCTCAAAACGCTGTAGAATATTTAGCTGTTACAACAACAGCAACCCGTTATTTGTAATTGAAATACTTTTATGTTATGTACATATGGGTAATTCCATGTAAAATTTACACCTAAATGTTTTGTTTTGGTGTGAAATATCATTTTAAATTCTTTATATATTTTCATCATGATGTTCGAAAATCTAGAAAAAAAAAATTTCCGTAATTTTGAACTCACAGAGAAGTATCTTTTTAAATTTTTTCGATTTTTGTTTTTTGTTTTTGTGCAATCTAAAAAGTTTTCAAAATTTATGGAGTACACTGTAAAAAGTTGAGAATGGAAAAACCAAAACTGTAAAAATTACAAGTTTTTTCATGCCTGCGTACATAAAGTAGCACTGGTAGCGTATGCCTGCGCGCTGAATCTCAAACGGTGTATAATTTAATGCAAAAAATTATTTGTTTAATTTGTTAATCTATCTCACATCCTAAAGGAAAGCCGAGGTAATTATGCACATTTTGACCGACAAATAGTTTATTAACTGCAAATATTAAATATAGATATTTCTCTGTGAGTTAAAATTTTCGGATTTTTTTCGAGATTTTCGAATATCATGATGTAATAAAAAAATATGTATGTAGGTGTTCTCTTTTTTCGATAAAAATGTAAAAACAAAGAAATATGCAATATTTGGTTTTGCATATGAATTTGGATTTATGCTTACGCAAGCACATCAAACTTAAATCAGCCAGCCAGTGGCGCAGATGTCAAGATATTTGAAAAATCCATAGTTATGGTCCGATGTTTCATTTTTAGAATCAACATTACTTAAATGGAAAGAAATAACTCGACAAAAGATTAAATAAAATCTTGTCTTAATTTTTTTTTTTAATTACTTGTTTTCGATACAATTTATATTCGTTATTTTCAACATCATATTTACTAAGCTAAAAAAATTACAAAGATAAGAAAAGCGTAGTAATATAACATAACATTCGCACATTTATTTAACCCAAAGGCAAATCAAATTAAATCCAACAGATGAAATGAATTTCGCAAATTTTAACGCGAAGCAGTTTTAATTCACGAAACGGAACAAGTTCGTGCTACGATAGCAAATATAGTATTCTCTATTGCTTGTGCTGGAAAAATCGCACAATTTTTTTATTGAAATGTTCGGGTATCCAATTGGCTGGGACAGGTTCAATTGAACAATCTATTTCTTGGGCGAGTTAGTGTTTAAAATAAACCGAGAAGCCATTTAAGCATAGCAGTGCCTTTTTCATTTTGTAGATCTTGTGAAACGAGCTGCATTTTGGATTTTTCCAAATTGCCAATTTTCGAACCTTCGCCCCCTATTCCGGGAAAAATTTTCTTTGGTTTAATGTGCGTTTGGGTTAATTTTATTTGGATGTGGGTTAAATAAATGTGCGAATGCCATATTCATTTGGAAATTCGATAAACATCTTATTGTTATTGTTCTAAGGTTAAAATCTCAAGAAATACTTTTCATTCTTTCTGTGTCAGTAATTTTTTTTGAAGTAGTACATATCGCTAGCTTAGAGTAAAAAGTTGCTAAATCCAGTTTTTAAAATTTTGCAGCAGAGAAAAACGCTTCTCAAAATCATTTTCTTCAAGTATTTTGCAACATTTTGAATACAACACTTTAACCTATTTAAAACATACAGCTCGATTCACTTGAATAGGCATAGGTATGCGTAGTATTCTGATGTGTATAGGAAAGTTATTAAAATTTCACTTAAAACCCTTTTAAGAATTTAAAGCATAAATAGAACCATAACAGCGCAAAAATCTGCCAAGCGGGTACTTTTACAACTGCAAAAAATTCATAAATGGAGGGCTTCACAGTTCTTGGACTTTGCATGCGATCTGTTGGAAATTAAACTGAACGAAATGCAAATATTTTTGACAGCTGAAGCTGGGTCACAGCATAGCATGAGAAAGGAATGAAATGGAGCCAGAAAAGGAAAGCCAAACGAAAATACTAAAACTCATTCAAAGTAGAGTTCAATTTTGATGAAACATTTTCGTATTTTTTTTGGACTTATCGAATTTTTTGTGTCTTCTAAATATGCGTTTCACTGAATAGAACTAGTTAGAAATGCAACATCTAGTTTAACGTTTTGTAAACGATGCGTTTCTAGTTTTCCTTGCCTCCTATATCAAAAAGTGAATTTTCATAAAAAGTGCACCTAGCAGCTTTTCTATGTAAAAAATATTTTTCTCTACAAACTTCAAATAAAACTGTGAGATATTCGTTAGAGCGACCAATCATAATAATTCTCTGTATTATTAAACATCCGATATACTTATGTTTGCATATTGCAGGAGCACGAACATAAATGTTAGATAGTGGTTTTCCTTTTCAAGTATGCTTGAAGGGGGTTTTCAGGGTATTTGTATAAGCCGCCTTTCTAACTGTGGCGTTAACATTTCCACTTGGCAATATAATTTTCAATCTGATTTTCAATGCTAATTGTCATGTTACCAAGCAACTACCGTGGTTACGCATATTTGCATGACAATTGTGGCAGCAGTTTTGCATTGGCGAATCTGAGCTGAAGAACGTTTGCTCCAATGCCAGATTGCGCTCACACAACTGAAAGTGCATACATACATAGGTATTGAATGTAATAAAATGAAGAATAATGGAAATGTTGATAGAAATTTACACTTAAATTGTTTGCATAAAAAGTTAAATTAAACTCTTTGTTACCACTATTTTGTTGTTTTATTTTTATTTTTTTTTTGCATTTTTAGTATTCTTCGTCTGCTTCTTCCCCTATCATCTATTCGAGTTGTGGTTCCATTTAAATCCAACTGCCAAAGAGGACTTTGATGGCTTCTGGCACGCGATACGCATAATTGGATTCTGCGCGAGGTAAGTGACAGACAGCGGACGATGGAGGTTAGAGGGAATAAAGTTGAGGAGAACGTTGGGGGCGTAAGGCAAAGCAGATGAAAAGCACGATGGCCTGATGAGGGTAAAAAGCGAAAAAAAAAACTATAAATATGAGCTAGCGGATATGAAACTATCTATCGCTATGGAGTTAGTGTCTTGAAGACCAGGTAGGAAATATAAGCTATCAGTGCATTATGCTGTACTCAGTACATTGTCGCGCTGAACCTACACAGAGAAATTTACGTTTTCAAATTTGTATGGAACGTTTTATTTTTAAAAACGTTTTGACCCAGGTTTTGCACCTACAATATTTATTTTGGTTTTGAGAAAAAGACATCCTCAATTCATATTCTAAAATGTATATTTTAGTTTTTAAAATGAACATTTTCAAATCGCTTTTGAAAACGGTCGTTTGACAATTGGAAACTCTCATATTCAGATGAGATTCTAAAATTTTTATTTTATATTCCAAAATATGCGTATTCAAATATGATTTTGAATTTCTTTTGTCATACATTTATTGATATATGTACATACATATGTAGACATACTTACATATGTAGTAATTAGTTACAATGCTTAATAACTGAAAGATATGTACATATTCTGGCTTTTCTCCCACGGGCCTTGATAATTTTGATTAAAGCTGGTTAGATCCTGTAATATACATAGAAAAATTTACAATTATTAAATAACGGATTCGAATTTGTTTTTGTAAGCAAGTCTTACCAAAGCTTTTCTCTAATCAAAAAAGGGTACCGTATCAGCAACGTTCCTTTCATTAAGTGGCGTAACGATATCATATTTCCGCATTTTTTGCTATGTATATATGAATGTAGCTTGAATCATCTGCACAAAATTTGTCCGACAAATAATGCAAACAGATGAAAAGTATTTCAGTTTTATAAGTAGCTTTGAAAATTGTAATACTAAACGTTTTCGTTTTAAACCATTCTCATGTTTAATTGGCTGAAACGAAATTTTCATTTTTATTTTAAAAGTGTTTCGTTTTACTTTTCTGGTTGGAAATTTTGTCGCACTTCAATTTGTAGGAACAATATTCCAAAACGTTTCGTTTTAGTTTTAAAAAGGCCCATTTTTGGCGTAATTTTTTTCATTTCAAATGTTCTCCTCAGTCAAAAGACAAAATATGATATAATGTTCGTTCTTATTTTCCCAAGATTACGTTTTAAAGTCTGTTATACAAGTAGTGTATTTTTAATTTCGTATGAATTAAAATTGTTCCAAAAATGTTTGTTTTACAATTTGTTTTGAATACTTGGGTTTTACATGCATCATTTTCTCTGTGTAGACATCTGAAATTACTTCCAAGGCGGTTGTGCTAGTTATACGTAAGTAGGTAGACTGTGGTCTTAAGAAAAATATGAAATTGTAAGATATTGTCAAGATAGTTATCCAAATTCTAGGAAAAAGGCAACCGTAGAAAACGAAGAGTGTCTAATCAAACCATGTTAACCACGTACAAATATTTGATTGGAAGAACATTAACCAAAAATAATATATGAAAAGGTGTGTTGCTGATATGCCCACTAATTACCCATTAACCACCTTCGCTTGTTTTCTTGTTGTTTCTTTTCTGGCAAGACGCCAGTGAAGAAACTGCTATAGCGGTGTAATAGCTCCCCAGAAAGCATTTACTTCAAAAGTATGGTTGCCCCAAAAGCTGTTTACTTACTTACTTACTTACTGTTTAATTTGATGGCTCGCTTTTAAGAGATATTGGCGTTCAAAATTTGGCTTTGGCAGTACATTTACAAAAATTAAATTATCATTGCCAGAGTGATATTTGATATTTTTTTTATTTCAATAATTTTTTTATATAGAAAAGATTACGTCCCACACTAATTTGGTTTAGATCCGATCATTGGATCATAAAGAAATTAACGGTAATCTCAAATTTTTGTATGAGAATTGAATTGGTTTTTTTTGCTTAAAAATTACTTGTACTATTTAATTAGCTCTCCGTATTGAGAAGTTTAAACTATTCGTAATATGACTTATGTAAACAATTTATACTTGTCTTCCACGAGTATTAAAAAAAAATCATAGAATTTGTTGAAACTGGTAACTGTTGTTTTTAATAAGTTTATTCGTATTCATTGCCTGATGCAACTAAAACATGCAGTAAATCGCATACATCAGGTTCTATTACTTTTACTGCCGTATCCTCATCTCCCTCTTCCAACGGCTTCGTACATACTCCACTAACAAATTTCAGCAAATACTGCGTCAGGATATTTATTTTCAAGGAAGCCGTTGAAACCGTTCTATGTGTTCATCTGATTCGGTTGGTAACTGCTGTCTGAAGAGTTGGAGATGATGATGTAAGTAGTGAATTTTTAGCAAAATGTTCACGCCAATATTCTAGAACACCTCTATTTAATCAGATTGCAATTCTAATGTAATTTCAAATATGTAACTACATAAGTTAAACAGACTACGAGTACCTTGTTGCTTATTTGAAAAATTTTCTCAGCTTAGGCACTGTTTTACCAACTTATTCTTCAGCTCAGCTGAGGCACTAATTTGGCTACCAGTCTTCCAGGTATTTCGTGTCATAGTTGTTGTTGCTATTGTTTGTTCTCAAGAGGCCGCACGCAAAAAAATAACAATAGACAAATTCACTGAAAGAGCTCAACTTTGAGCGGCTAATATCTTCTAAAAGCGTTCTTAGGGTTTTGTTACCTTAGTCCAGTATTATCGTGTGTTTCGTTAAAACTACCACAGCGATATCGTCTACGAATCGATACCGCAGACACGCTATATTCCTCAGAGCTTTTATCGTTCCAGTGCCTTAGCCTATAGATAGCAGAAATATAGCTCCCAATAATTCTTATGGTGTAACTTGGAGCATCAAGTTTTTTTGAGATGCCTCAACGCAGTGGTACCCGTAAATGTGATTTTCATGTCCAACAATATTAGAGCGCAGAATTCGTTTTCACTTCATTCTCTGGCAATGCCAACCACGGATTTCGTTGCGTCAATGATCGACCATGACTTTCTGAAACCAAACTGATAGGGCGATAGAAAAGCTCTATCTTCTGCGATCGCTGGTAGTCTGTTGAAAATAATTTTCCTACTTCATCATTTACTCAAAGAAGACTACGAGTGAAGAAAACTCAATACACATGGAGGGAGATGTGTTCAAAGGAATGCGTAAATTTTGTACTACGGGTTATCTCGAGGGTTTACAGATTTTAGTGACAAAGGAATATAAAATGACATTTTTGCAACAGACAAACTCTTCTTAGAAACTAAAAGAGCTTGAAGGCTTTCATATGTAGGATAACAGCTGTAAGGACTTTTTTCGTTGTTAATTTTTCCGACATGGCAGGTATGTATATATGTATATGATGTATTGTGGAAGAATTTTCCGCCATCCCTTCGACGTCATATCCGTAGGTCCTTACGCTTGAAGGCAGTTCAACAAAGAACAAATGCTTTATTTATAGACAATTTTTGTAAAACATAATTTGTTAACCAACTTAAAAAATTTCCGGAAATGTTCGCATAATCACTGCATCTCAACTAATTTATTATATGGTCTGCTTCTTATTTTATTTTCACTTTTCTCTGCCACAACCCGCCTGCGGAATCTCATCAATCTCACAGCTTTCTGCACTCGTGCGTTAATCCCGTTGCATTGTACTGCGTGTCTGGCGTATTTCGACAGCATTTCAATCGGTATTTATGCTGTCTGTGCATCAAGCGGCAGCCACGTATCCGCCAACATTCCACAGCGACGGGTCTGATGGACACCAGCATTATGTCGATGCGGCGCTCCACTCTCAGCAACTACAATCGCGCATCGCTGCATATTCACAACAACAATAGCAACATGATGCACAGCCGAAGCGGAGTTAACAGCAGTGGTGTTGGAAGTGGTGGCTCCACCAATTTTCATCGACAAACTTCGATACCACTGCAACACAGCGTTGCTAAACAGCGGAATGGCTCTGGAGGCGTTGTCGGCGCTGCCAGCGGCAGTGACCAGAGGTGAGGAACGGTGGTGCTGATGCTTCCAGCAGACGAATTTCTCTAAATATGAGCGCACTGTATGAAACTTGCAAATGGCCACCCAACACACACCTGCACTCACTGGCTAGTATAAAAATGTTTACAATGGCACTTGTTCAACTCTGCTGCGAAAATAAAGAGTAAGGATGTTTACGAAGATCATTCACCTCCATAATGATGCTTAAATTGAATGTTATGGTAGGAAATTGCTATCGTAAGGAGCGGTGTTAAACCCCGCTTTGAAGCCAAGTTGTGTCTGGTTGTTACACAAGTTGTGACATGGCTGCTGTATATCTGGCTGTGTGTGTGTTGAAAGAGCTAAAGCGCGATCCATCTAGACCTTTGTTTTTTTAATTTTAAATTAAACACTTAAAATGGAACTGGTTGTTGGAGGCTATATTATTACCCGGAAGAAGAAACTGTGATATTTACTCTTAATAAAAATAATTCCATTCAAATTTTGGTCACGGACAGAACATAACAGTCAATATCGAGCGCTACCGCACCATGAAAACGGACTTTTTGTTGCCTGAAATTGAAGCCCGTGATGTCGGAAACATTTCGTTTCAGCAAGTTATCGTGTGATATCGCATCTCTGGATTTTTTTCTTTGGAGCTAAGTGAAGTTAAAAGTGTTTGTCGATAAGCCAGCTGTGATTCAAAACTTGGAACCGAACATTACTCGCTTTGCTGGAAACAGTAATTGACCTTCCGAATGGAGCACACACACCGTAGTCGTGGCCAACATTTGAATGAGAATATTTTCAAAAAGTGAATGTTGGAGATTTTTCTTTCGGGTAATAATAAAGATTCCGTCTCAAGCGTTTTATTTAAAAATAAGCAACAAGTTTTGAGGTTTGTGTAAATAAAAAAATAGACACATCTTATCAATGCAAATATATGTACTTAAAAAAACCAAGTTTTAATTTCCTATAGGTTAGAAAGTTGATGATGAATAAAATAAAATAACGACATGCGGTAAAATGGAGTAAAATATGAAGGCTATGCGCTGAATAAAATTATCCGCTACAAAAATATGATAATACGAGTATGTTTTGAAACAGTTTTCAGACTTCAAAGAAAAAAAATATATTTTAGTTTCAGAATTATGTAACTACACATTTATTGTAAAATGGCAAAAAACAAGAACAAAGTACTATTTTTTGATTAACATGTTAATTTTTCTGCAATACCGTTTTCATGGTAATGTCTTAAACCCTTACAAAATTCTTGCTGGCAACCACAGTTAGGCGATTCACAAGACGTAAAATCTCAAACTTAAAATTTGTTTATGTGAAATAATGATTAAAATGATTTACGAGGACTTCTAACTAAACCGATAATTAGCCACCCCTAAAATAATTTTAACCGTTATTTTACATAAATAAATGTTAAGCTCAAGATTTGACGACGCTTCTTAACACGTCTTGTGAATCCCCTAAATATGTTTGTACTCTATTGCACGTGATTTCTGTCGCTCTGCTTCGGTCTAATGTCGGAGGCTGCCGGAAGCAATTTGTCAATACCAAATTAAAGGTTAAACGTCAGCTGAGTGGGGTGCATTTGGAAATGGAGTGCAAGGTAGCATCCGCGCAAAGAAAGTTTATTATAAGACCGCAACAACCTTACTCTCGATCAGCTTTAAGCCATTCAACAACTCGGAAACCTTTTTTACGGTAAAACCCAATTCTTGACAATTTCTTGAAAATACCAGGTTGCTTTTCAAAATTTTTAATAATGTTTTCCCGTACTACAGTATTCCCCGGTTATTTTATCCCCGGTCACAGCTCCTACCCAATTTTTTAACTTAAATACATAACCGGTACTCAATATTCCCACTTGAGGGGTACGTCAACTCATCCGGAGTTTTTGAACGGTAAATAAATTCATCCTGGTCCTGCCCTCTCACTGAGTTATTCAAATTTGAGTATTTCATTAGAAAAATGTGAGCAAATGTATAACGGACAATTTTATTCAGCGAAGGCCTAATAACACTGTATGAAAAATTTAAATTTACGCGTTTCTAAGTATAAGCAGTTAAAAAAAAAATATAAAAAAATAGTGTAAAAAAAAATAAAAAATAAAATAAAAAAAAAATTAAATAAATAAAAATAAAATAAAAAAATAAAATAACATAAATTAAAATAACATAAAAATAAAATAAAATAAAAAAATAAATAATTTAAAGAACTCGAAAATAAATTTATATAAATTACTGCTCTCAACAGTATTTGCATACAAGCAGTCCACAGCTATAAACTTATTTTTGTATAAATGTACATTTGCTTAATTGTTATGGTTATTTGTGAATTTGTTCTTGTAAAGCTCGATTTATAAAGAGGCTCTGCCCGAACCGACAAACGAGGTTTGCGCCAATTATGAAAAATAATATAGGAAACTAAATCTTTTAGGTTTACAGAAGGTAATTGTTACTATTTGCGAAACACTGTTACATTCACACAAACATAAGTATGTATTACTTACTTCTTACAGTTTATATTTGAAATAGATAATGTCAATATTTCAACATACATACATACANACATACAACATAAACGTAAGCAGCACACACTTATTTCAGCTCTATTTGTGTATACATACATAAATACATGTCTATGTACGTGAAAAGCAAATTAGCTCAAAATCCAAAAATTGTTTAAATAGCACCAACTTAAGCTCAAAGTTTTTCTAAGTTTCTATGTGTTAAAACAGAATTTAATGTATAAATATGTATATATGTATATGTATATATTTACATATATAGGATATGTATTTAGTGTTGTACGCACAGTGGCGGTGAAATAAATAAGGACGCGACATTTTAACAAGTTTTGGGTATTTTTGGTATTTATTATTATTATTTTTTATGAAAGTGTTGCTCACTATATAATGAAAGTTATGTAAGTCCGAATTTTAAACTTTGTAAAAAAATTTAGGAAAATTTTACAAACTTTCATCAAAATTAAATTTTTTAATCATACATGTCTTTAGTAAAAATTGGTATTCAGTTTTGTAGCACGTAGTATTTTCATCCATACAAAGTATGTTCAAAATTTTTTTTTATATGGAGCAAAATGCACAACTCCGTCAGCAAAAAAAAAAATCAATAATTAACGGAAAGTCCCAGCTACTTCAAGCTTGCACTTTGTATATTATTGTCGCACTTTGTATATTATGTCGCGTCGCTATTTGTTTGTCCGGCACCGTACACCTGTTACGCATTGCACATATGGCGACATTCCTTTCAACGACATTTTTATTTGTTTATATGCATGTAGTTAAGTAATTTGAGCATAATGCTTAATAATAAATATGTACATAAAATGACAACCAAAACGATTCACTAAAGAGCTTTTTACTCTGATAATGACTAATAAAGTAATGACGGGACAACTTCAAGCACGACTGTTAGCAAATAAGTCCCACAGAGTTCGACCAACATTTGAAGTTGAAGTGCAAAGAAAGTTGGGCGAAAGAATGGCGGGAGGTGCTGCAATAAAATTTATTTCTTTGTTCACTGTTGCTTCACTATACAGCAATTTTTTTATTTTTTTTTTTGTTTTACTTTATCTGAATTTAACTTTCGATCTTGCGTTAAGTTTTAGTTTTTTCACAACTATTTTTTTCCCTGTGTTTGCACTGGCATTCAAATTTACCGAGCTTACATTGGCTACCTATATTTCATCGCGTGTATTGTCCGTTTATATTTCGTATAGCAATGATTTTCTGCGATTCCATTTGCCCTTGTTGGCGTAATTGACTTGAATTCGCTATGAAGCTGAAGCTATGTACCATTTTTTATATTTTATCTTTGCCGCTTTTTTTCCTTTGATTCGAGACTGAAAAATGTTTCGTTTATCTTGTAGAGTACGCTATATTTTTTTCGCTTACTGTGCTGAAAACTGTATCGCACCAACTGCACCGATGGGAGTATGAATACAAAGACTTTTGGGATTTCACATGTGGGCAACAATATGTATATGTAAACATAAGGGCAAATCTGAAAAAGCAGGTACTCTTTCAAAACAAAAAGTTGAATTTTTTAATTTGTGGGCACATCTATGTTTTACATATATTACACTCAAGATCGCAGAACATTTTATCTTTAAAAGTTGGTTTATTCTGAAAGCACACCTCTTGCTAAGATATCAAACTATTCNAAAAAAGCAGGTACTCTTTCAAAACAAAAAGTTGAATTTTTTAATTTTTGGGCACATCTATGTTTTACATATATTACACTCAAGATCGCAGAACATTTTATCTTTAAAAGTTGGTTTATTCTGAAAGCACACCTCTTGCTAAGATATCAAACTATTCGTAATTGTTTGTAGAATACAATGCATACTTAAAAAGTTTTTAAAACGAAATGCTTCAAAAATTATATGCGATAAACCGAAAGTTGCCATTTAGATATTTTTTAAAGCACACTTTAGTTACCTACTACATATGNGAATACATACTTAAAAAGTTTTTAAAACGAAATGCTTCAAAAATTATATGCGATAAACCGAAAGTTTTAAAATTTGTGAAAAGTAGTTACAAACTTTGAGTTACTTGCCATTTAGATATTTTTTAAAGCACACTTTAGTTACCTACTACATATGAAGTATGTCTACACTTGTCTGTAAGTACTAATTGCCCATAAAATTTCAAAAGTTATGACATAATTAACTTTTCACCTGTAAAAAATTACACAAAAAATTCACTTGTTTTTAATATTTTTTTTTTATGAAAATATCTATAAGTCAAAAGTTATGCAACAAATCGATTCAACACTTTTTTGAGGTTTCAATTATACATTTATGAATTATATCCAAAGGCAGCTCGATATAGTTTACAACAATGAAAGTAAAGCTAAATAACACAAAGGTTACCTGTATTTTAGATTTGCCCGTAAATGTGTTGCATTTTTTTTTTATAAAAAGTATTTGTTACCACCATTTGTCGTACAGCAATAAATTGTCGCACAAGCGAGGAAAAAGAGTTGATTAGAAATATGGAGAAAAGTGTTTGCTTTCTATGACCAGCTACCGGCACAGACCTACTCGTATATATGTACATACATACGTATCTATTTCGACTACTCACACTCATTTATTTTCAATATCTCTGTATTTCAGATACTCTATGAATAGCTTGGAGCGGTACTAGTTCATCGCTAAGCCAAATCTGCTTGCTAATTAGCAAAAGTGTTATTTTGTAGAATTAAAAAAAAATAAAAATAAATAAATAAAAAATCGATGTAAACTCAGAGCGCTGGTCCAGCTCTATGCCAAGCGGAATTGCCTGGTGGCCTTAAATAAATGTGAAATTCTTGACAAATTTGAAATTGTTATTCTATTAAGTGCTCTGTAATATGCAAAGTTGTAAGTAGTTGCATGAAGCTACGTGGAAATATTCATATCATCGCTTAAAGTACAAAACCGCGTAACTGACATTTGCTGCCAAAAAATGTTTTTGCTGAAATATACTAGCCAGAAATGCGATTGCTTTATAAAAAAGAGAACCACTTTGAAATATGAGTGTTTTTATTTTCTGGAAAATAATTTATGCAACCTCACCTACGCGGTTTTGCATTATCTTGATACGCGATTTTGTATTTTGTTGATAGGCGGCTTTGTACTTTAAACGACGATATAAATAATCACATACTCGGCGACCCGGCCAACCTCAACCTGCCAAAAATTTATTTTTTTATTTAAATAATTTCGAACATTCCCGATTCCACCAGAACTTAATATTTTAAAAAAGAATCCGCTACCAGTAACAGGACTCCACTCGAAGTGTAATTATTGATTGGAGGAAATTTATTCGAAACGAATTGAATTCAATATGTGTACATTATATACATGGAATGTAAAGAGGTTACATGCCAAGCCAAATGAAAACTGTTTATTTTCAAAATATTTATAAGCCAGTATAATGATTATATTTAGTAAGTACTTTACAATGATGTACTTTCTTCAAAAGGCCACGTCTTAGCGAAATTATCGAGGACTAGTTCTCGTGGCTCTATTCAGTTGAAGGTTATATTTATCAGTACTGTTTTATTTGTTGTTTTCTAATCCTCTTTTGATTCGCCCCTTCCTCCAGCAGCATGGATTAGTAGCAGCAGGTGTAGAGTTAAGGTAATATTTTCTGATGCTGTTGCTAACGCAAGTAAATAGTACCTCTTCAAGTCATAATTCAGGACGTGAAAAACTGCAAAAAAAATGTTTTAAAGTTTTTAGTCCGCTTTTACCCATTAAAAAAAAAAAAACATTTAGCAAATATTCACTTAAAATTTATTGCAGAGATCAAAGCTGCCATCATACCTTTCTCTAGTTACCTACTTTTGCCAACAAGTGATTGTTATCTTGTAATATTTGCTGCACAGATGTAACATGAGTAAAGTAGCCAGGAAGAATTATCTCTTTTTTCAAAGACCCAATTGACAAATGTCGTTATAAATTGTTTAGAAAATTTTTTGGTTTTTTTTTTTATATTTGGCCTCAAAACAATTTCAATTCACCTATTTTATTGAGCTTGAGGCCGTTTTCAGGTCGTTGAATTTCAGATTTTTAAAATTCTTATTTGTTCCTTTGCACCAAAAACTTATCGTCGCTTAAGGTACAAAACCGCGTATCAACAAAATGCAAAACCGCGTGCAACGCATCTAGATATTATGATGTACATACATATGTAAGTATGTATAAGTGAGCTTGGGATGGACTCAAACCTAAAATTTGGCGATTATTTTATATATATTTTATACATTTTACTGAGAAAATTCTCGGATGTATTGTATATATCGATGGCTGAGTGGAAGATCGACCTATCTCGGCAGCCAGTCGAAAACGCTCTATCTCAAAAAACTTTTCAAGAACGCCCTATTTCAGAATTCGTTTCAAAAACGCTCTATCTCAGCTGCCGATTCAAAAACGGCCTATATCAGCATATTTTCAATACATTTTGAAGTGAGATAGGGCGTTTTTGAACCGTATTTTGAGATAGGGTGTTTTTCAATTAAATTCT